CGCGCACTAATTGCCAGTTGGAGCAGAATGGATTCGAACAGCTCGCTCGATGTCTTGGGCAAAATAATGAGGTGGTGACAACCGCCCGAGCATTGTACATTTCGCTCAGTTCACGGGCAACAGCGAGCTTGTCGTCCTCCTCGAAAAGAAATATGCTGGTGAATACTATCGTAGCTTTGCTTGTGACAGCTTGCGATGCAATAGAAACATCTCTCGCATCAGCGGACTTCATTTTCAGCTTCTGAAGATGGAGATAAGCATTGAGGTGATCTTGAACGCAGTGTTGACCAAGTGAGCATAGCTCGCTTCGCACTTCAATACTGATGTGCAGGAGCGGCAAATTGTCATCAGTGCCATAAGCGCTTGAATATTTCCTAAACATGCTCCGATATCTAGAAACACGTCGTTGTCTGTCACAGGAGCCAGTACTATGATCATTGTAGCTAATCCATCCGGCAGTACTTTGCCAGCACTGTCACACGTACGTCCAGCTCTTTGACGAACGTCACGCGCTCTAACATAACCAAAACTAGTATTTATTGCACGTGTAGCGTCCGCTTGAGTTAGTAGACCACCATATAATCTGGAAGAAGGAAGCGTTGCATCACGCGCTGGTCGAAAGCCGCGAGAATGAGCCAAAATGCGCCTTGGTGTTGCCCCTCTGACGAAACAAGGTGGAAAAGCTGCCAAGGTTTTCCCATAAGTCCGCTTGAGACTAGCCAGTCTCATCTTCAGCTCGCGTGCCGATCTCCTTGTCCTCGCTAGCCGCTTCTTTATATATTTTCACCTAATGCGCAAGCCTTCTCGCTCGAAGTGCAAGGCAATTTGAACGAGGGCTTTGTCTTCCCAGTCCATGAACCGTGTCTGCATGTTGAACAAAGCGCAAATGGTTATTGGAAGTCCGTGTCTTAGATTTTGTAGAGTAGTAGCATAGGGAGTAAGTATCTTAGTTTCTGTATGGCAAATAATTGATGGTAGTGGGCTTGTGGGATCGACCAGCCCCACTGTTTATGAACCATTGTGTGACGTCGGCTACGCGTCGAGGTAAAATACGTGGCAGATAAGTTCAAACATGAAAAATGTATAAATCGCCGATGTGTTTAGACATATGATTGGTCGGAAGTAATTTCACAAAACAAGAGATACGAAATGATTAAAGGGCGCATTATGCGTCCTTTTGCGACTGTGATTTCGACCGTATTGTGTTAAACATCTAAGAGGGCGCAAAATACACCCTTCTACCACGAAAGGGTTAAATCAAAGTCTATAAGAAATACAAAACGATTTAGTTTTCTTAAGTTTATTTCAGAGCTTAGGAAGAATCTGACAGGAGGTACGATTTTTCCATGAATTAAAACCTGGTAATTTATTAGGCCTAACGTTATTCAAAACAAAAAGGGGTCCTACAAACTCTACGTGACGCAGAACTTCATAATTCTCAATTTATGAAAACCGCGATTTATATTTATATATTTCGTGCGTGGTTGTCCACCTCAGCTAAGTACGGTTAAATATTAGCCAAGGTAATCATGCATGTTGCGCGAACACTTACTCTATATAAGGAGAGTGAGTATTGACAACTCAGCCGGGCTAGAAAATATTTTTTTCTTAGTGCGCTCCTAACCCTATCCTTCCCGTGTACGGCTAAAACGGTATACATACTGTACAGGTATACAAGATTTTTCCCTCCACTCATTCAAAGAGCAACTTCAGCTATGGAGCGGCCACGAGGTACGCCGAGAAAACGGCCCTCACACGACGTGACCGACGAAGGCGGAGGTCGCATCGAATCAGACGCGAGTTGGTATGTCGGCTCGACGACACCAGTCCAAGTTACACTTCGGGGGCAGACCAAGCGATCGCTGTGCGGGAAAAGGCTATTCTGTGACGTGCCCCGACTTAGCGAAGGCGGAGCTCGAGTTGTGGGAAGCGTTCCACGAGTACTTGGGCCAGTACCAGAAGGAAACGCTCCAGGTAAGACTACTTAGGCCACACATGTAAAATATGTGTATTAAGCGACTTTTTATTGGGTTCGTGTAGGTACTTCACACGCGCTCTACCAACTTTTCGGAGCGAGACAAGGAGATCAAGGCGGCCGTGAAGTCCTCATCCGAGAGCATCCCAGACGAGTGGGAAGTCTACGCGAAGACGATAATTTGTACGCACGGCGGACAGCTCAGATCCCGCGGCAAAGGAAAGCGACCTCGAAAGGTTGCCCGACGCAGGTGTTGTACATGTGATTTCGTCGTTGATCATATCCGCTCGTGGTCTTGGTCGGTGACACATTCGGTTATGGCTGGTCGCAAATGTGTTTGTTATGTTATGATATTTTCTTTTGCTTAACCCCTTCAAACCGGAGGATTTTGAGGGTGACGTGAATCTGTATATACAGCGTAATATTATATAGAATTCTGTATACCCCAAGGGTTGGGCGAGATTGTAAATGAATAGGCGAGGGGCGTAGACGCTGCTGATGGGGATCCAGTACGCTGTACAACATGCATTAAACGTAGTACATACTTCCTCCGTCCGAAAATATAAGGCATGTTTTAGAGTTAAAATCGTTTTAGCGTCAAAAGCGCGTTTTATTGGTGTCTGATTGGTCTAAAACATGCGTCAAAGCACGGCGGTTCTTCTGGTGCTTTTCGCTCGCATTTTGAATGAGTGGTTGACGAGCTATGGTCGTTCCAAAACGGCCACATTCTTCATTTTTTCTTTTATTCTTCGCAACAAGTCCAGATGAGCTCTAACACCGACGGCGCGCGCTGTAAAAGGAAGAACCTCACGTCAGAAGAGCGTGCTCAAGTCGTCGCAGCTCTTCTGCGCTGAAGCGTAAACTTGCAGCCGCCCAAAGCAGAGTTCGCCGCCTGTGCAGTCCGTTTTAGCTGTAGCGAGCGCCAGATCGCGCGGCTGTGGCAGCGAGTGGCCCAGGATATTCATGAAGGCAAATCTATCAACTACTCCAGCGGCAGAAAGGGGAAAAGCGGCCGCAAGTCAAGGCTAACGGAGGAGTTCCGCCTCGACCTCAACCACGCCATCGCACTTACGCCGCTTGAAGACAGAACCAACATTCGTACTTTAGCTGACTCCCTCGGTATGTCTAAATCTACTCTGCATGACTATTTTCTCTCGGGGGTGTTCAGATGCCACACAGCATGCCTGAAACCGATGCTAAGTGACGAGCAGAGAGTTGCTCGAGTTCGGTTTGCCTCTGGATTTGTTCAGAAGACGGGAAGACATGGGCTGCAGATCGACAATATGATGGAGTATGTGCACCTGGATGAAAAGTGGTTTTACCTAGCTAAGGAGAAGCAGCGCTTCTATTTGGCTGAACACGAGGAGGATCCCCATACGACGGTCAAGAACAAGAATTATATTGTTAAAGTGATGTTTCTTGTTGCTGTGGCTCGCCCACGTTGGGATCCTAGGCAACATAAAGTGTGGGATGGGAAAATTGGCTTGTGGCCATTTGCTATCTACGAACCGGCCGAGCGTTCAAGCAAGAATCGGCCTGCGGGGACGTTGGAACTGAAGACATACGCAGTGACTCGTGACATCTATCGGCAGTGTCTTTGCCGGTCGGTCATTCCTTGCATTAAGGCCCTTTGGCCTTCGGGCAAGCGAGTCATCTTGCAGCACGACAACGCAAAACCCCATGTGGCTGCGGATGATCCTGCTGTACTTGCGGCATGTGCGGAGGGCGGGTGGAGGATGCGCCTTCAGCCACAACCTGCTAATTCACCGGATTTTAATGCTCTCGACCTCGGCTTTTTTAGCTCCATACAGTCGCTCCAGCACAAGAAGAAGGCTAAAACTATCGAAGATCTGGTCAACAATGTCGACGAAGCCTTCAAGCAGCTTCATTACAGCGCTCTAGATAGAGTTTTCGTTTCTCTACAATCTGTGCTGATGGCTTCTATGGACGTTGACGGAAGCAACAAGTACGCCATCCCCCATCTTTCGAAAGCCACGTTGACGGATAGCCGTGGTCTTCTCCCGCAGTCCCTAGCTTGTAGTGACAGAATCTATCAGAAGGCAATAAATCTGCTAAGTTCGGCTGATACGAACCGAACTTAGTCTTATATTTTCGGACAGTGTTATGTGTGGCGCTGGTCTTATATTTTCGGACGGAGGAAGTACAACGTTGTTACGCTGTATGTGCACTGCTCTTGTGCGATCATCATGCGTTTCACCTCGCTACATGAGTACAGAACCTGAGCGTGCCGCTGTAGAATCTCGATAACTTTGTCAAAAATCGACAATAGCAGTGATCCAGACGATGCAGATCAGGTCAATACTCAAGTCAAATACAGAGAGTCGAGGTACGGGATGCGTCTTTTCAAACCCCATAAAACTAGAGATCAATTGGAAAGGCAATGCTGGTATTCATCGATTAGACTCGAAAACCAGAAGCTACATTTGCATGCTCAATTTAGAGTTTCTCTTCTTCCGACTAGGCGCGGCGTCGTTTAGCGGGCGACTGCCGTAGTAGTCGTATCTTGCCCTGGAGGCTGTCCGGAATATCGGTGCCATTCTTGAACTTGTTGTACCATATATCCCAGCAGCTACGCAGTTATTCATCCATGGTGTGTTTCGGCTTCATGCACAGATACACAGGCAGCCTGCTAAAGCATGCATCGCAGAAGTATGTCGTCGTTCCGCCACGCGTTCCGTCTGACCGTAGCCAGGAACACACTTTGCAGTTACATTGCACGCGCTTCAGTTGTCCCGAGTGGTTTCGCCACTCATCCACTTGCTTGGCGGAATGGATAGCACGCTCCATGGTCACACCTTCATCTTGTCCTCAGGTCGACGTCGCTGCATGTTCTTCCGGCGCTCAATATATGCTTCCACGCGTGCCTCGAGCTGCTCGTGCTTGTAGTTGTTACTACACACTGCAATCTACTGCCAAAGTGCCACTGGCATGAAGTAGAAGAAAAGAGCAAGGGGCGGATCTCCGCACATCATTGCATCTGGTGTAGGGCCAAATGGCTCCTTCTTTAACTCAGGATAGCTATTCTCCTCCCCATGGCTTGATACGGTGTTTGCAGGAACTCGTGATCACCAGGCATATCCGGATCCGTCCGTCCAGTGGCGCTATGCTCTCGTAGCTTCTCCAAGTCTTGTTTGCTTATACCAGTGCCAGCCAAAAACTTGTCTGAACCACCGAGTGACATTAAAATGTACTCGGCCAAGTGGCGCTCCGCAATGGATTCAGCTGAGTTGGGGTCCTCCTCTTCGCTATCACCCTCTTCATCATCACTGCCACGCCCAATCACAGCAACATCCTCTTCACCTTCTTCGTCTGAATCGTCTTCGTCCACGATGCCATCCTCCTCGATCTCATTGCCAGATTCAAAACCAGCGAAGTCGTCATGGTTATCTCCTTCAATTTTATTGAGATCATCCTCCGAATCACTACACCTTTGTGCACTCAACCTCGTAGAAAACGGCAGTCAAACTCGTAACTTAAAAATTGGCAAATAGGAAAATTACGGTAGGAGCCCCTAATCAGTATTCAATGTTGAAAAAACTGCAATCGACCTCGTACAAGATTTGCGCGACTGGTGGACAATCTCCCTCGGGGAGGCGCGAAGCACATCAAGATGACGCCTGAAGCTAAGGTCCTCCTGGAGGAGTACCTGGATGATAACTGTACCTACACGCTGGACACTATGAGGACAATGTTGATTCTGGACTGTGGCGTTAAGGTGGACACGTCGACGATTAGCCGGCACCTGAAGGGCATGCTGTTTATCGTAAACCAAGTGAGGGTCGAGCCCACAACGTGTAATAGCGATAGCAACATTGAGAGACGACGTGTGTTCGCCGTGAAATTTAAGGAGCATCAAGACGCAGGTAGCTTTGGCGCGAGTCGAGCAGAGCCTATCGTTTAGGCGCGAACCAGTCTCGCAAATCTTGTACGAGGTTGATTGCAGTTTTTTCAACATTGAATACTGATTAGGGGCTCCTACCATAATTTTTCTATTTGCCAATTTTTAAGTTACGCCGTTTTCTACGAGGTTGAGTGCACAAAGGTGTAGACATGATGCTGCTGGCTATAACACATCAAATACAACACATTATATACAACGTAAGCGCACGCATGTTCTATATACATGATAAACACATGGATACCTTCTGATGCGCTGTCAGGATCTTCGCCGTCATCATCGAGCACAGTAGCTTCGCCACCGCTATCATCTTCGTCTGAAGATCCAAAAAGAGAGGTCCCTTGAGCTGTAGGCGCAGTGGGCCTCGGCGGCGTGCGTCTTAGTACCAACTTGAGCTCATCCTCCACAGAGTCATCACTGGATATGCCATTTCCGGATCCGATGTCACCTGCAACACATTATACACACGTGGTTAGGTTGCTAATCAGGCACGTCCGCCTGTGGCTCACGTACCATCGCTTGCATTCACCTCTCGGCTTGTTGGAGGCGAGGAAGCAGTCAAGTTAGGCGTAGCAGCGGGAGGGGAAACCGGCAAAGAGGGGTTTACGTTTGGGGCTTCACTTTCATCAACTGGGGCTGTCAATCCTGCACCGTCGCCTCTAGTCACATGACCTGCATAAAACGTAAGTTATAGTTCCCTATAGAATAGACGAACGCAGGCAATTAAGATCATTCGCACCTTTCGCAGTACACGCAGAGCTCAGCGCTTGGGCAGCTGCCGTTGATTGTGCTGCAGGTGGAAAGTCAAATGCTGATTAGTGATGATATAGCAATAGCAGAAGCATTAGGCCTCGTACCTGCAGCGTAGTGCGCGAGCACGCGATCTAAATCCAAAAAGTAGTCCTTGCCCTCGACTCCGCTTGCTTTTCCGCGAGGCGGAATAAACTTCCACCTCGTCTCGATACAGCTTGCTGGGGGCTTCTTGTGTGTCCATCCGCTCGCTATCAGCCGGGCCCACATGTAGCGCCAGGTTGGCGTCCCGCCCTCGACGATGCGCTCGGCTCGACGTTTGTCGCGCCCATTTTCTCCAACTCCGCGAATTCAGAATTCGTGGAGTTGAAATTCTGAAATGAGGGAAGCTCGCTGGCCACTCAAAAATTCCTGTGATATATGTTAGATGATGTGACGCTTGTGTGTCCGACCTATAGAAACTAGTTATTCAAAAAGTTGGACAGAGACTGCGCTCTTGTCCCTCGCCTTTGTCTTTAACAGAAACTGCGCAACCCATTGACTCGATCATTGTATGGCATGTGACAGCGGCATGCAAAAAAAAACTACGCGCTTACAAAAACCAAGTATAACCTGATCCCTGGACTGTATATATACAGCTTAGATCAGAGGCTTATCATTTCCATAGGATTTGCTAACCCATCTTATACATGCCATCGGGTTGAAGGGGTTAAATTATTGCTTGTCTACGAGTGGTTAGCAAATCGCCTGCTGAATTTGCAGTGTGCGTGACGAAGACTCTCCTCACGCAATCACAAGTTGAGTCTACGATATTACAAGCACTGTCGGGCTAATCACATGTCAGTGAATGATGAAACGCTAGAGAGGGTTGACTCGCTGCGAAAAGCTGGTGCAAAGTCAAAGAAGACCCTCAAGTTTATTGTGGAGAGCTCCAAAGAAAAGGTTCGATTTACATAGAATTATAACAAATTGCTTTTTTATTTAGAGCAATGTCACTGGCGTTTTATTTGTTTGTGGATAGAGAATCGCAACTTGCATCACGCTGTAAACAAAACACATGGCGGGCATTTTTAGCAGATTTCTGGAGGTGCTTATGATTGATGCCACACACTGTACCAATAACGTGCAGAACAAGATTTTTTCGGTCATGGCTCATGATGTATTCGGGTAAAGGTAATACGGGCAGCACGCTATTTTACAGAACGAGCGGAGCGAGACACTGTTTTCAGCTATCCAAGTATTCAAGAAGAAGAACGCTTGTTGGACCAAGTTGCAGTGCGTGATAGTGGACAAGGACTTCACTGAACTTTGCGTTCTGAAAACGATTTTTTTGGAGGTGCGCATACTCAACTGCCAGTTCCACGCTATCGAAAACTTACGAGAAGAGGTGACATGCTCTGATTGCGAGCTCTCTTCTTTTCAGAAGAGTCAGCTTCGGTGGAAGTAAATTTGCTGGTATATGCCAAGACCGAGCGGGAGTACTAGAAGCACCGCCGCTACATGAAACATCTCGTGTGTATGGATTCACATCAAGATGGAAGCGCTATTCTGGATCTAGAGGGTGACAAAAAAATAGAACCGAGCACAGTAGTCGGTGACACGATACGGTGTGGAGTGGAGTCTATTGCAGTTGGTGTCACAACCGAACCGGGTGGTGGCAGTACAGGCGGTCTGAAAGAATTACCGACTGCGTCATCATCCCGTCCGCTCGAAGAATTGGGTGTGGTGTTTCTACTCTAGAGAAACGCGGTTACGTTGGCGAACAGCACGACTCGAGTCGTCTCAGAAGCACATGAAAGAGATTGCCAATTCGTTGGATGAGTGCTTAGCTTGTATAATTTCTTTCCAAACGCGAGCTGAACAGCTACTGTATGGCCGCGCTTCGAAGATATCTTTGGTCTATCATGAGGGATACGATCGAGAGATGAGTTTCGTATCAAACTCGCTCAGTAACCACGTGTGCTCTCTGATTCACGAGCAGAACGTGCACGCGACAGGCCCAGCCTCATATACGTTCTACGAGGTAGCACCAGGGGTGATTTCTATCAAACACAATGCCGAGGAAGCGAACAGTTTGGACGAGCCAAAACTGGAGTACACAATTAACAAATTGACGTGGGAATGATGCAATAGACACACTTAAACCCATCGATAAAACTACGATATGGATATTTGAGTTAGATTTCTCGGTGGATGCCCCCCCCCCTCGTGTCAAGTCGAGCAAACGATGGAACTTTTTCAAAGTTAGAAGCCATTGTTCGGTGGGTCGTTGGGCACAAATGTACCGCCTCTGAGCTAACGAATCGGTGTCAATAATGCGTCCCATATTAAATATCAATTCTAGTAACGGTAACTACCCTAGAAATACTGGCGGTAGCTAGGACTAGCGACTCCCTGCTTCTAAACTGACGGCACTACCGTAAGCCACGGGCTCGGTGAGACACACGGCACCAATGCAACAGCTCGTAAAAACAATAGCTGGCGAAAACAACACTCCAGAGATTGGTTGTCATGACACCCCTTCCTTTGTTATTTTTTATACAAATAAGCTAAAATAAATAGCACGGTGTAAATGTGCAGTATTTCCTACGAAACTAGGTTAAAAGAAATAAAAAACACGGTGTATTAATGCAATTTTGTTACTCCTCGTCACAAACAACTGGAGCTTCGGTGTTATCAACAGCGTGGACACGGAAACGACCGGTGGCATCGCGCGTTCCGACGGGGAATATTCCAGCTCTCACGAAATCCTTGGCAATCACTTCTTCTGGGATTGCATTTCACGCATCCGCTACGATGCGGGAGATCAGCGCGCGCTTTTTTTAGGGGTACTCGGAAAGTCATTCTCAATGTGATGTTGCAGATATAGAGATCGAAAAGTATTATGATAGCAAGTTAGATCACTTTAATCAAAGCTACTTAAAGCACTTACCGCAATTCACTCGATCCTAGTTTTCATGACGGCAACATCCACGGGTTGACTGATCCCTGTAATGCCTGGAGGCACAAACATAACTTCGGTGCAGCACTCTTGTTGAAGTACATAGCGTACAGACGCCATATTATGCGTCTTCAGGCTATCCAGCGAACCTGCAGCCGGTTACCACACCTGCAGTACGGTTTAAAATTATATAATGTAATAAAAAAAACGTTTAAAAAATATCGAATAGATTGTTCGTACTCTCTCGATTCACTCCAGCATCACGCGCTCATCACAGAAGGCCTTGCGCTGCACCGTGTGCTCGACGGCATTTGCACCAAACGCAGGATCCCACACCGCCGTCGCTACTCGTGCACCAGGGACACTGGCAAATACGACAAAAGGGTGGAGTTTGTGTCCCGTTGCTGAAGCAGTAAGAAACACTGAGGAGCGGAAACCATTTACCGCACTCCCTATTGTCAGAAAAATAATAAAGAAAAAAGTTAGAAATATCACAAATTTTAATCTACAATAAAAATAGTACCTTGTAGCACAGCGACAGTTGGCGCCCTAACAAACTCGATTGTTGTTTTTCCGTTCGTGTCGATGTATATTGCCGTTTGGTCCATATTACATACGGCAGCGTACCTGGAGGGACCCGTCTCTCACGCTAATATGCCCTTCTTCACAATTGTAAGTAGAATTGATTGTGAAAACATGCCTCACAGCCTATTTAGCACAAGTTAAGCTAACAAGTTGGCAAAAGGAATTTGATAATAGTAGCAATTGCTGGAATGCCGATTGCGTACATATCGCTTCGAGGTTTTCTTCTTTTGTGAGTAATGCGGCGGATTGTCAAGCGGTTTCGCTTTATAAATCGACGGATATAACGTTACACTTGGCCAACATCAACAGCAAACACTCTGTTAAAACACACAGCGACCTATTTTTTTCGTATGTCGACAGTCCAGTCGTATAGTCTAATTGTACAAGCAAACATTGTGTAAATAAATGTCAGCAAGAAAAATTAATACATGCCTCTTCTCAAGAACCGAATAACGAATGCTAAGTCCGGCACGAGTCAACGGGCTCACAAAGCACTTGTTCGGTGACTTCTGAACAGCTTCTTCTTGGCTTGTACGCTGCTTCTTCCATCGGTACAATGTCGATCGATGAACATGAAGTGCTTGTGCTGTCGCTAGTCACAGTCACATATTCTGCTTCGCTGAGATACTCGATTGCCTAGGCGACAATTATAAATATTATATAATAGTAATAGGAAATTAAGTTTGTGTACCTGAAGCTTCTTGCTATGGCTGGTTTTAGGTCTTTGTGGTATATTTGCACGCGAAAAGTAAAATGGGCGCGATGGCATTGTGGCGGGAAGCACCCTGGAGATCCTTCTTACGGCGTAAAACGTTTTCTTAGAATTGTGAGTTTATTAGCAACGAGACGTTTTACGATTGTCTCATTCAGCCCGTGGCTTACGATACCAAAGTGCCGGAAATACGATCTGCGCCAGGAACGGCATTTAATGCAAAGTGTAGCACAGCAGCGCCAGCCTACTGTTTTCATAGCCCATCTCAAATCTGGTATCGCTTTTAGATCTAAGACAAAAAATTAGTAAAGCCTAGGACAAGGGCAGATCAAGAGCGAGCCTAGTATCGCGCGTAGAGTCGATTAACCGACCGTTTTGAAATAACAGAGAATTTGCATTCGAGTGACTCACTGAATGACAATAATAAAACCAGATTATGTTGGCCGACAGATAGCAGCACCTCCGAATCACACACGTCGCCGCTGTGAAGCGCGTGACACAGTAACGGCACAGTCATAATTAGTCGAGAATAACAATAAGGTGGTCGCTTGTAGCGAAACCATATCTCTAACTCTCTTGAATGCGCTGGTGTCTGACGCCTTTTTTGTATGAAAACATTTGAGTTTTCTGTGCGTCTGTGCGCACACGAATTCACTTTACTCCGGGTAACTTTTCAATACAAACCGCTTACAAATTTGTTGGCGCCAAACGCACAGAAAACACTACCGTGATACACAAAAGTAACAACCATAGCGCGCTGACTGGCATCGCAGCAAAAAGCCAGGGTTTCTCAACACGAGCTGTTATGATCAAGGTGGAGCAGCTTGCGGAGGATCTGCGCTCTACATTACATGTACGAAGATGACGTAGTACGGCTAAATCAGTTTGAGCTCTCTTAGCACGATTGCCGCTCATATAAAACAGCTCACATTACCCTACAGTGAATCGGCCACCATCACAGTCGGCATAGTCATTGCTTTAAGAATGCATAGCTACGCGCCATCACCACCACGACCAATCGATAGATACGCATATATTCACTACGATACGAGGCGCCGTGTAGGTTCTGCGTGTCAGCTACAGATCGTGGTATCTTGAACCTTAAAATCGTGTTTGTCGATATAACGTCGTTCGCGTGATGGCATTAGTGCGATATATTTCCTAGTGTGGTCTGTCATGGCTCCATTGTTGACAGACATTACTAGTACAGCTTTTGGTGCCTTCTCAAACGCTGGCCAATCGGACCTCAAAAGGCTGGTCGCGGGTACGGCAAAGCCTAAGATTTGGTGTAAGGATGGTACAATTTAATCTTTGGCAGTCACAAGTCTCACGTAAGGCCTCCGATCTTACGTAGCGGCCGCTGTAGACAATAAAGTACAAATGGCCAATTTTCGCTGGCTATTTCCTCCATCGTAGGTACTACGCAAGATGCCTGGGTGATGTGGATAGAGCCAGTGATATAGGTATGCAGAGCTCAAATGACTTGATGCAGGGCTCGCCCTGGCGTTAACCGCATAAAATGTCAAAATAAGAATTAATCTTGGGCATGTACAGCCTCCTTTAGTTCTTGGGAGTGAGTAGTGCACCCAACTCGTCGTAAATCGCGACCAGATTTTCCCCTACCCCAGAAGAGGCCCGGTCGACAGAATTTTCGATATCCGTCAAGTATGTATACGTGTATATCATTGTCAGCTACCACTCATTCCGAAAGTGAGGGGGGGGGTGACAGCGAGAGCAGTATGGAAGCCACTAGCGCGGGCTGCTGCGCGTCAATGCAGCCGGTGCTGGGGGCTTGGGAAGCCCGCGAAGCGACCACTTCGAATCTCAGTGTATCGTGTGTAGCGATGAGGAGTGGATAGATTCAACTGAGGAGTCGTCGGCCACTTCCAGCACAGTACACACGGATTCGAGCGTCTCCACACCGCAAACAACAGAGGCACCATCCCTTCAGCGCACTCAATTTGATTCTTGGGAGGACCTGGAGGGCTAACTTCAACAGTACTCGAGGGAAACGTATCAGGTACACTTGACTGTATTTGTTATCGTTGCTAGCCAGGACTCACATATCAAGTGGCATAACCACTGATGAATTGTTTGTTTATTGTGACTAAATAGTGTTTTAGAGTCCGGACGAACAACAAAGTCGAGGTCCGGAGCAAAACAATTCGAGCAAACCCCGGCTCGAAGCAACCAATTCTTCCGGATGAATGGATTTACTACGGCAAGACATTTGTATGTACCTATGCTGGTAAGTACAAGGCCCGAGGACAGGGGGAGAGGAAGCGACAGCAGTCGAGGTCTATTGAGTGCGATGTGCAGGTGTAATATATGTAGTTTCCCCAAGTTGGGTCTCAGCTGGGTACCATTGTATCAGTTGGGTGTAATTTGGGTGGTAGATTGTCTAATGGCATACATGTGTTGTGTACGTAGATTAATGCTTGCGTGCAAGTTGTCGATGCTACGGCACCTACATTTTCTCTGTGGATAACTTCGACACGCTTGAAGCATAACCATCCTCTTCACAAGCACACATTTGAGCAGTATCCACACAATTGAACAGCTCTGGAACCCGAGGTCGTTGGGACTGTGGGTGAGCTGCTGAAGGATGGCGCCAAGAAGAAGCGAATATTGCAGTACAATTTACGATCCTGGACTAGATGTACAAACAGACAGTTACAGTTGTGGGGTGAATGTGCTCCTGGTGTTTGGGCTATTTTGCGGTGCTGAGCAACTTGGGTATCTGGACAAAAAGACATTACAGCTTCTGCGATACCGCTACATACGCATGCTTATCGAAGCGTAAGAAACCAGTTGTACAACAACTTGTAGGTGCTCAGCGCTCAATACACCACTACTTTGTTTTGCTTAGAGTGATGCTGTTGTTTTTTTGTTTGTACTGGTTGGAAGGGATGACATGAAAATCTAACGCCCTAACTTCGCCCCCAAACGCGCTCAGCTTCGGACTTTGACACGGCGCGCACATTCTTAAGTGTGTCTTTCCGGCTATACACGTTTGACGTATACAATTTTGCACTGGCTTCTTGAGTTGGGCGCGTAGTTGGGAGCAGTATGGGGGTTTGTTTGGCACGAGCTGGGTTCGTATTAGGCGAGCTGTGTTCAGTTGGTTGCAGCAGTCTCGTCACATATTTTCCAGTTGGGTGCAGCAAAGAGTGCCTTAGTTCTTAGTATCATACTGTAAAACGACAGCGCCTAGGCAAGAAGAAAGCGTTGTGCCTCACTGACAAGTATGTACTTCGGAGCGCTTCCCATTTTATGTTACTGCCTAAGCTTTACTGGCTCCAGGCCCTGGAGTCCAGGGTAGGTTTAATGAGACCCTACCTAGGAGCGGAGGTCCTACGTAGGGCCCTAAATCGAAGGAGCTTTTGGTAGAAAGGCACAATAAAGACCCCTTGCATCAGATCAGCTTATATGACTAATGTCTACCGATTGCGCTCAACTGTTCGTTTCTTTTTCGCGCACAAACTGCCTGTACAGCGTACAATACGCGACTTTTTGCTACCATTTTCTGTGTTTGTGAGCAAATACCCGAGCTTAATGCTTCTCAGGGGCGTCTGAGCACAACGCCAGATTACAGAAAACAAACAAAACAACGGCAAAGATCGAGAATCTTTTCGTCAACAGCTCACGAATTCATCATACTCATCCATTGAAAAATACGTTTTTGCAGTTAGAAAAATCTTCTTTTTGGCGGTGACACGAATGTTGACCCAGGCGTTTCGATCTAAATAATATTATAAAATGGGTGTGGGCTGCTATGAGGCATTCGCGATGGTGATGAGCAGTTGTCGATTCCCAGTTGGGCGCAGCAACGAGTGATTTTTTTTTAAATAGCATTCTTTTAGAATCTGGCTGTCCTAGATCTTGTTTAGATGAACAGGTTTTAGACAATCTAGGGTACCTAGTACACCCACGCTAATTAGCCCTACCTCGACTAATTGTGGTGTACACCTTTTCCAGTCCAAATTGATCAAAAGCAAGTTACATTCATCAAATACAAAAGCAAAATTGTGAAACGCAACTGCAAGTTCATCGATAACCCTTTTTAAATGATAAATCAGGTATAGTGAGCTCGAATCAGGTTGTAAAGGATACGAAACCAGCGATCTTCAACGTCTAAGCGCGCCAAGGAAGCGCTCATTTCGCGCCAATCTTGCCTTCTCTAGTATTATGCGAGGTCCGGTTCGCGCCAAAACGCCACCACTGCGCGCCATTGAGGCTTTCACTTTCCATTTTGCAACTTCCGGGGCAGCTAAAACATCCAAGATACCAAGCCGCTACGCGCGCTACGCGCTGGAGACCAAGCTTCGAGTCCTGGAGGTGAGGTGTGTGGGAGGAGACCGCTGAGGAGCTTGGTGTTAAGTACAACACCGCCAAGCGTGGGTAGCCAAGCACGTTACGCGTGGAGAGGAGGTATTTGCTCATCCGCGAGGCGGCAAGCTGGGAGGCAAGGTGACAGATGCTTGTCTAGCGTTTTGGCTTAAGAAGCTAGGTGATGACCCCGACCTCACGCTGCGTCAGCTTGCAGACGCTCTTGAGCACGAGCACGGCGTCGTCGTGGCTCCTCAAACTGTGAAGAACCACGTTGACGCAGCATGTTTCACGTTGAAGCAAATGCACAAGGAACCGCAATACATGAACACTATGACAAGCAAGCAGAAACGCCGGACATATCTTGCTGAGCTACAGGAGTTCCAAGCTATGGGAAAGGTCATCTTATACATGGATGAAACAAATTTTAACTTGTGGTCTACACGTACGCGTGGGCGCAGTCTACGTGGCCGCCGTGCAGTGAAGAAGGTGTTTGCTGGCGGTGGCCAAAACATGCACGTCATCGCCTGCATTAGCGAGAACGGATTAGTGTACTACGAGACCAAATTCGGTTCAAACCGCCACGCCAACACGAATGACTTCATTCGCTCGCTTCTGCGCCACATACGGGACGCGTCGGGACTCACGCTAGCTGATGTTGTGCTGGTGCTCGACAACGCGCCGTGCCATTGCCGGGCAGAAAGCGTCTTTGAAGAGGATGAATTTCTAGACGCAAAACTACTTCGTCTCGGTCCTTATTCACCGATGCTGAACCCGATTGTGACGGGGTCATACAGCACCTTGCGCTAGAGGAAGTTATCTTCCGAGAGTATACAAACTCTCAGTGAACGGCCGTTCACAGGTCCCCTCTTTAATTAAAGAGAGCGAAGTGACCTAAATAAGGTAGATTGTAAACTGAGTATATTTAAAGGTAGGTTAAGTTTGGGTTTAATACAAACTATTAGTTACCTATAGAAATGCAATGTCATTTAACCAATGGTTGGCTTTGAACGACCTTGGTACCTTGTACCAAATATCCCGGAGTATGACGTGTCATACTCCTGAAGTGTGAAGTGTCACACTTCATGTAACCAGGGTACACTTAGGGCTACGTACCCCGTTACATCCTCCCCCACTCAGGTTCGGTTTACCGACCAATCAGAATGAAGAGGTGTTCGTCACAAACTCTCATTCTCAAAGTCGAAAACCATCGACTTGGCCACGCGAGCGCGGCGGAGGCTTACTTCACAGTTAGAGCCTCGAGCAGCAACCTGTGCGCTCTTCGTCTAGGTCTCCACTTCGATCGTTATCATGCCTCGTGGCACTGCAAAGAGCGGTGCTAAGACACGCTCCATGGCTGCTGCCGGTAAGGCGCAAGCCAAGAGCACTAAGCCTCACGGCAAAGGCTCTGCACTCAAGGAGGCTAATCAGGTGGCCTTCGAGGCGTTCGGTTCCTCGGGTGACGCGGCTGTGGACAAGCGCGCAAGCAAGCGCCGCAGTCCGTCGCCCTCGTCTTCAGACAATCGTCCGAACCCTCGGTTCGTAGAACGTGAGTTCAACTCGGGCAGTGAAGACGATGCCGAGTCCGAGAGCACTCATGATGCTCCTGCGGGCTCTGTGGGAGGGCACAGCCCAGTGCCCAGTGAGCACAAAGATGACAGCGTGCAGTCGCTTGCTAGTGATCACGGTGATCACAGTCCCAGGGCCTCTGTGCGCTCTGAGAGTCCGGCTGTCAAGGCTAAGGGCGCTCCCAAAGCCGGTGGCGATGAGGAAGAGAATCCTCGCAAACGTCTCTTGCTTGCCGAGGGTCTTGCGCGCTAAGGCCTCTAAAGCCGAAGGCGCCAAGCCCTCAAAGAAGCGTACATCCTCTAAGTCTCCACTCCGCGAGGAGAAGGAGACTCGACGCTCCTATCAGAGTCTCTTCGACTTCTCGGATGAAGAGGAGGAGAAGGAGGAAGAAGAAGAGGAGGAGAAGGGTGCTATCGTTGAGCCCCGGGAGGTCTCGAATGACCTCGACCAGCAGCAGGAGGAATTCCAAGCTGCCCAGCGTGTGCGTGGGGGTTCGGTGGCGGCACCCGTCAGCCAGGGAGCTGCCATCAACTCAAGAGGGTATTGGCCTCCCGAGGAGAGCTCTGGGGCTGACCTCTTCTTAGAGGTCCTCGTCGCTCCTCGTGGCCTTGTGGGCGGCCACACTTCTAGGGGCATCTATGAACGAGCCCTTGTTCAGAAAGAACAGTTGTTCGTCGACAACTTGGATGCTGCTCGGTGTGTGCTTCTCGCGCCACACCGCATTCCCCTTAAGGACTTCACGACCTGTCGTAAGAAGCCCGAGACCCCGGGGTGTTCTCTATCCTGTTTGGGGATACCCCTGGGTTATGCCCGAGAACTGTCCCACGTGAAGTTCTTGTGAGCACATGTTCTGGGCGTGGGTGGAGACTCTCAAGTACTCGCCCACGGAGTTATGGGAACTCCATGAAGATCAGCAGCTGTCCCACATCCTGGACCAGCGTGATCTTCGTGTGAGGTTTGCCCACTTGATCAGCAAGCGTATGCTGCCAAGGGACATCCTGAAGCGCGCGGCTTCTAGCGCCCATGATGAGCGCGGGTACGGTATGTATTCATCGACCGTACCCCGTTCGGGCAAGAAGCCCCGGACTACTTATGAAGCTGCCGCCGCTTCTGTTCCCAGATTGCGACAGCCTTCGGGCAGTCAATCAGGAGCCGTTCAATCGGCTCCCACGAGTTCTCGGAGTGGGCATAACCCCTCCACTTCACGAGGAGCTGTCGCCTACCGCGACACCGTTGCTCCTGGAGGATCCGCTTCACGTGGAAGTGGACTTCTCCATTCCGGTCAAGCAGGGGCGGAGGTGCCCTCGTACGAGTACGAGTACTCGGCGCCTCCCGAGAGCCACTCTCGGGCGAGTGCTCCGACTGCGGGTCCGACACGGGACCCTGAGGTTGACCGCCTCCGTCAACGTGTCCTCGTGCTTGAGATTGCACTTGGCCTTGGGACTGGCGGTAATGCTGCCGCCCAGGCCGGGAATCAGGGCGAGCTCGCTCGTCTTGCGGGTCGCCTGGACCTGGTGGAGCGAGAGGTCGCGATCCTGCACCTGCGGGTGGATCGCCGGGCCTCTTCGTCCGATCTGGACGAGGCCTTTCGAATGATTCGACGGATCGAGGCTTTGTTGCCACGTCCGGAGCCGCCTGCGGCACACTCCCAGACGTACGCGTATGGTGCGTACCCGGCGTACTCAGCGTACTCGGCGTATGGCGCCGGGGTCCGTTCGTATGGAGCCCCTCCGGCGTACGGTCTTGACCGCAGCCTTGCCGTCCCGACCGAGGCTTGGATGCCTGCTCCGACGCCCTCGTCGACGACTGTGACCGGCCCTCGCTTCGAGGAGTGGGTCAAGGGGGGACTGCGAGTCAGCAACCCCCTGCGGGTCAAAGTACCGCTTAAGACGTCCGACATAGAACGTCGGGTGCGTCGTCATTGACTTTGGAAGGTCGATGGTGTACGACGCACCATGTCTGGCCAGGACTGCAAAAGGTCCGATGAAGCGGTGCTTCAGTTTGTTGCTGCCGTGTTTCCGCAACGAAACTGGTCTCACATCCGAGACCTGGGAAAAAAGTGCTTTCCGAGCCTCTCCCCCACTTAGAATAGAGGAGTCAGTGTCTCCTCGAAGAGTGAGAGGCACTCTGGGGTGGCGGAAGCCATTCAAGTAGAACGGCGTGAGCCCCGTGGAAGCGTGCACCGCGTTGTTGAGCGCAAACTCAACAACTGGAAGCTGCGTCGACCACGTACGTGGTGCTGCCGCGCACACACTGCGCAGAGTGTCCTCGAGCACTCGATTGCCGCGCTCTGTTTGGCCGTCGGTCTGCGGATGGTCCGCAGTGGACATCTGCAGACGAGTTCCCAGTAAAGGGAACAGCGTTTTCCAAAACGCGGTAGTGAACCGTGGGTCTCGGTCCGAGACAATCGTCTCCGGGAGACCGTGATAGCGGAACACGCCATCGACGAACAACCTTGCGGTTTGTTCGCCCGTAACAGTGACGGGAACTGGAGCAAGATGTACCATCTTGCTCAGCCGACACACGAACACCAAAATTCCGGTGCTGCCGTGTCCGTCGGCGGGAAGCCCAAAGATGAAGTCAAGACTCATCGACTTCCAACAACCAGCCGGTACGGGCAGGCTCTGTAGTGGAGCCGAAGAGTGCCCTGCGGGTTTGACCCGTTGACATGTTTCACATGTCTTGACGTACCGGGCGACCCACTTGTACATGTGGGTCCACCAGAAGGACTGAGAGACCGACAGAAAGGTCTTCTCGCGGCCCAAGTGGCCGCTGGAGGGCGCGTCATGCGCCTCCGCGAGGATGTCGAACTTCAGATCCTCGTCGTTGGGTACGACCACCCGTGGAGGATCAGTCGGCTCCACCCGGTAATAGAGGAGGCCCTCCTTCAACTCATATCGGTGGAGCCGTGAGCGCTGTCGCGACGAGAGCCAGTCGAGCTTCGCGCTCGTTCCGGCCATAAGGAACTTGACGATAGGCGCGACAGCCTCATCGTCCCGATACGCCATGCGTATCCGATCATATAGATCCGTTGTCACCCGCGTGATGTGGGCCAACTCATAGTCGGGACGCCGAGAGAGGGCGTCCGCAAGCACATTGAGCTTGCCCGGCTTGTATTCGACGCGGAAGTTGTCTTCCTCGAAGAAGGACAGCCACCTCGCCATCCTTTGGGAGAGGTGAGGCGAGTTAGTCGCCGTCCTCAAGGACGCGTGGTCTGTGTAGATCACAAAGGGCCTAGAGCCCAGAAGGTGAACACGAAACTTCACAAGGGCATATTTCATTGCCAGGAGCTCCTTGTCGTGGACAGGGTAGTTCCGCTCGGCGGCTTTGAGCTGCCTGGACTGGAACGAGATGACTCGTTCCTGTCCAGCCGTGTCGGCCTGCAGCAATGCACACCCGATGGCGTAATCGGAGGCATCGCAGACGACGCTAAACGGCTTCGTCTCGTCCGGAAGGGCCAGGACAGGGGCCTCTTGGAGACTGGCCTTGATGCTGTCAAAAGCATCCTGGTGCTCTTGCTCCCAGCGCCAGTCGACGTCCTTCTGAAGGAGGCTCGACAAGAGCTTAGCGAAGCCCGCGTACCCAGCGCTGTACTTTTGAAGGTAGTTGGCCAAGCCCAACCACTTTCGAAGATCCTTCTGGGATCGGGGCGTCGGCCATGCTGCTATGACCTTGACCTTGTCTGGGTCAGCCCGAACGCCCACGTTGCTTACGAAGCAACCGAGAACTTTGATCTCTGGTGACGCGAAAACGCACTTGTCGATGTTGGCGTAGAGCTTGTTCGCTCGCATCACGTCCAACACTCGACGGAGGTGTCCTAGATGCACCTCCATGGCCGTCTTGCCTCCCTCGGCACGGCTATGGACGAAAATGTCGTCGAAGTACGTCTGTACGAAGGTACGCAAAGGGCGGAACAATTGCGTCACCAGGCGATTGAACGTCGCCGGGGCGTTAGACAAGCCCT